TGTGCATTGAAAATTGAACAATGACCAGAGAGACAAATGGTGCGTGTATCTTTCCGTTTGTGAGTCATATGAAGATGCGTAGAGATTCAATTGTCGTTCCTAAGTAAATTTGGAATGTACATTGAGAATTGAATAGTGGCGAGAGAATGGAGTAACCTGCCCATGTTTTCGTTTATGAGTCATGAGAAGATGAACAGAGATTCAATTATCATTACCAAGTAAATTTGGAATGTGCATTGAAAATTGAACAATGACGAGAAGAACGAATAGTGCGTGTACCTTTCCATTTGTGAGTCGCGTGAAGATGAATGGAAATTCAATTATCATTCCTAAGTGAATTTGGAATGTACATTGAAAATTGAACAATGACGAGAGAGAAAAGTAACTCGTGTACGTTCCCATTTACGAGTCAGATGAAGACGAATAGATATTCAATTATCATTCCTAAGTTAATTTGGAATGTGCATTGAAAATTGAACAATGACGAGAGAAAAGAGTAATACACGTATGTTTTCATTTGCGACTCACGTGAAGATGAACAGAGATTCAATTATCATTCCTGAGTAAATTTGGAACGTGCATTGAAAATTGAAGGAATGACGGGACCAATGGTCTCGTGCACGATTCTCCCGCAGAATACTTGACCTGCATACAAGGTAACCTAATAACTTCGGAAGAAATGTCTTTATCACACTTCCAGCAAGGTCTCGTAATTTACATTTTTGCACAATGTAAGTGGTTAGCACGAGTTACGTCCGTCTTGTAACTACAACATAAATTTATCCTTACTCTAATTCTACCAACTGTCTAGTGAATTTATAGCCGAGTGTGTATATCTCGAAATATCAAGGTTCGTGCATGACCAGCTTTTATAAGTAGAGCAAACTACTAAATAGAGTGAGTCATAAGCTCTTACCCACCTTACGTGCAAACTTTATCTATTCTATAAAAGTTCCTACGATAAATTCTAACCTATAAAAAAAAAAAAAATTACCGCACTTTACGACCTTCGCCTGACTTTCTCTTTCTTGAGTAATGAGTAAGAACAGGTAATTAACTCGTGTCTTAGAATTTATCACACTGCAGTAGCTATCTTTGCATCGGTAATAAATAATAAAAATTACAATACCTCTAAATTACATCTGTGGCGGCCCATGCAGCGCGCACGACGCCACATTGTAAACACCATCGAGACTGCGAGACGCACGCAACGGACGTGTCTTTCGTGCCTTTCGATAAAGGATGGCTGTCCTCGGAAAGCGGGGGGACACTTGAGATCCGTTCCGAGGACAGCCAGGGTCCCGACCGACGACGCCAAGGGGATTCGACCGCCGAAAGTCGCACGAGCGACATCAGACGTCTCGTCTGGGTTTTCTAAATAAAAGATTTCAAGCGCAAGCACGAGTACGTTTAGTCTCCCGTCACCCGCACATCCTTTTATATCTCTACCTGAAAATTCAACGCAGATTAAAATTGCATACCCAGTGTAACACAAACACCAACCCTCTACAAACTCACCTATCCATTTCCCTATGTTTTACAAGTCTCATTTTATTTGTCCACTGCTACACTCCTACATCGTATTGATTTTAACAATAACTACAAATTTTTTAAATAATTTCTAATTTTTTATCTCTCATCGGAATGAAAATTCCAATCAACCATAATGTGTCTTCTCATGAACGAAGAAAAGTTAAGGAACCCTAATAATTCCGAAAAAAAATGTTTTCAGCGAACATTTAAAACCCTCGAAGGGAGCCCTTTCCCCGAAGACCGAATCATACCGTAAAGGATTAATTCTCGTGCAACCTCGACCCAAACCGTCGAACCACGAAACGACCCAGCTTCTCCAACAATACCACGCGGAGGTGGTTGCATCGGAAACGGGACATTTTCCAATCGCAACTCGATCGGCCCTTCGCGAAACTTGGTTACTTATTTCCAAACTGTTGAACTCGCCGCGGACTTAGCCGAACTTGCTCCTCTGTGCGGTAGACGTTCCTTTTCGATTCGAACGAGCACAAGACCTTTCTATCAAAGATCGGTGCAACGACGGCGGCGACGACAACCGCTATAACAACTTCCGACGAGTTGTGGACAGGTCGAAAGCGCAGACCCGCCCCGCCGTGGTCTTTCAAGCGCGCGTAAAATGGCCCCGCGTAAGCTCGATGCACACAGTTCACGCGTGAACAACCTTCCATCGAAGTTTGCTTTCTCCTTTGATTCGCGTTTTCTCCGCGGGGACACAGTCTTGTTGGTTCGTTCGAGACTGGAAACGCCGCGGGACCAGGAAATGTTCTTCTATCGACGAGTTGCTATTAACCCTTTCGTTCCTGTTGAAGGCTACGCAGACGCTGTGGGAATTTGTAGCGAGGTGTTCGCGACATTTGGAGGATTTCGATCTTAGTTTAATTTTCGACTTGATGCTTTTGCTTTAATTTAGTGAAATAAATTTTGAAAGAATGCGGCCAAGATTAGATATTTTCAATTTTCGCGCCTTTGGCGCATCTCGATCTTAACCCTTTCGTTTCGGCGTTTAAAAATTTCTTTTAATTTTAAATTTCTGTCGTTAAAATTTAAGCGAGAGCACCGAAAGGATCGAATTTCAAGCAAAATTTAAGGTTCGACGGCACAATGCGGGAAAATTTTCAAAACCAATAGCAGCGAAAGGGTTAATTTAATGTTTCACGCGCTTTCGCTTTAATAATAAAATAGATTTCGAAAGGATACGGCTAGAATAAAATATTGCGCAGTCGCGCTTTGAAATTTTCGCACCTTCTGGCGCATTTCCACGCTAATTTAATCCCTAATTTTCCCCTTTGCGTATTTTTAACTTAGAAATAAGAGATTTTGCGGCCGTGCTTTGAACACTTTCGCGCCTTTTGTCTCACTTGAATCTTAATTTCATTTGTAATTTCACCCTTTGTGCACCGTTACCTTATTTTAGTAAAACAAATTTGGACACGATGCGGTTAAAATAAAATACTTCGCGGCTGTGCTCTGAAAATTTTCACGCTGTTCGCGCCTTTTGGCTCATTTCCATCTTATTTCAATCCTCAATTTTCACCTTAATTTAACAAAAGAAACTTTGAAACTAAAATCTATCGGGGCGAAAGAGTTAAGCTCCGGTACTGTCAGTATTTCATTAACAAGAATTCACCAGGGATGTTTTAGAATAATGTATTTTAATTACTACTTCACTTTGATACACGATACAATGCTTTTGTGTTATGAATCAATTTGAACGTGCTCATTTTCAAACTGTATCAATTACGCCGTATTTTCATCTGATTGTACCCCGAGTTTCCTGTATTTCATTAAATATACATTTCACCCTCTGTTTCGTAGATTTCATTCAACTCCCCCGTACAATTCCCCTTTTGTGTGAAAATTAAATAGGCGCTGAAGAAGGAATTATTCACAACTGTACTTCATATTTGTCTAATTCAAACTGAAACACAACCTCGTAAAGTGATTAAACAAGTAACAGAAAAATACTCGTTTAAGCTTCGAAAAATTTCTGCTTAATGCAAAACCCTACACACTCGTATAATCGTTGTAACAAACAATGCAAACGTGCTCAACTTCCGAACAAATCACGGTTCAAAATTCGTTACAACCCTCCGTAGACGATCTGTGTCTTCGATGACCCAAGTGAAATTTTCCCAACGTATTTCTTCCGAACGAATTTCAATTTTTACCGAAAAAAGATTAGAGACTTGGACGAGTAATCTAGAATACCGAAAAAAGATTAGAGACTTGGACGAGTAATCTAGAATTTTTTCAAATTTTTTGAGAGCCTAGAACGGTAAAAAAATTAGACTCGAACAAAAACTAAGTGATACGTCTAAAAATAGAAAGGACTTCGACGACCCAAGTGAAATTTCACTTCCCTATTTCTTCCAGACCAATATTAATTTTTACCGAAAACAAATTAGAGACTTGGACGAGTAATCTAGAATTTTTTCAGATTTTTTGAGAGCCTGGAACGGTAAAAAAATTAGACTCGAGCACGAACTAAGTTTGCCTTCGAGGGGTTGAAATTGACGCTAGGTTAAAAAAAAAGAAGAAAACACCTGTTTTTTAGCACATTTGCGTCAAGAACACGGCGATTTTGACAGGCTCGGCAAGGTTACAGCCTCGGAAGATTGAATTGCTGCCATCCGAGATGAAAATAAGCGAGAAAAAAGTGGAACACGAGCGGAACGTCTGGGAGAAGAGAGTAGAGGGTTGCGTCGAAATTGAACGTCGAATCGCGCGTTTATCGTGCCTGAACGGACCCCGAGGTCCCTTTTTCTTCTCGACACGCCAGTTGCCCCATAGCCTGCAGCCAAGAGGATCTTGATACGAGGAGAGACGAAAAAATCTGCCACCCCGTGTGTAGAGCATCGGCGACACGATTTTTCTTCACCGCCTTCCGCAAGCTTTCGTTTCGAAAATCGCCAAGATTTTAATATGAGTTAGATACCTTCCGATTTGTCTTACTTCTCTACTTTGCCCTTGCCATTTCTACCGGTCGTCTTCTCTCTTTTTCCGCGCGAAAAAGAAAAGCGTCGATAAGGGAACGATAAAGTTACACGAAAGTTTTTCAAACGGGAAATCTAGACACCCATTCCTCCTCCAAGAAGAACGGGATCGTAATCAAAATTTGCAATTCCTACCTTAATTATCCTCGATTCTATTTCTCTTTGCAAACCGAGGGAATATGTGAAGTTACTAAATCTTCTCGAAAACTGCTAGAAGAAACTTCTCTGGGAGAAGGAAAAATCTTGTGGGTCGTTCGAGAACTTTATCAATTACACGGTATCGTCGAGCCAGCAGGTATTCGAAAAATTTGAGAAAGTTCGGGGTAATTATCGAAGGCAATCTGTGAAAACTGTGAGGTTCGAGGTTCGCTAGGGGGGGAAAGAAGTGGAGGAATCGAATAAACAGGTATCCGCCTATGGGGAAATCGCGAAAAGGTGGATAAGCAAGAGAGAAAGTTTCGGAAGTGAACTCACCGGCGCAGCTGTATCCATTTTTATGAAGAATGTAGCCGTCCTTGCAGTCACACTCGTACATCCCGTCGTGAAGTTCGTAGCAGAGCTGCTCGCACGGAGACCCGTGGCCGCATCTTCCTGAAATGCAGAGGATCGGCTTGCTGAGAAACTTGTTTGCTTTGTATCCAGCGGGAAACAAACGAACGGCGATAAAACATATTCAAGGGGCATTTTCTCGCGATACGTCCCACTTTTCTCCACTTTGGCGTGAGGATGGAATGTTCGCGACTATTCCTGGGCCTCTGTGGTTTTCTTCTTTTTTCGAGACGGAGTTGAGTGATATTTACACTCGAGTTATATTTCAACGTAATTAGTTTGTAATTCAAATCTTTTTCATATTTTTCTTACCGTGGAAAAATATAAGAATTGTCCATTTTCATCCTGATAAATGAAACGAAGGATTTTTGCAATAAATTAAGCGATTACTTATAACAGCGTGTTGCTTCAGAAATGTGTGCTTCTGATAGCAAACGGTGCACATTGCCCTATAATAAAAAGTAAAACACTACGACCTATATTTACCAAGGAGAAACGAAATTTGATCGACACAGGAGACAACTTAAACAACCGAGAACAAAAAAACTGTGAAAAAGTGGAAGCAATGCGACAGTTCAATCGATCAATCTCTATTTCGAACAATGTAACAAGGTAATTCCATTCCTAGACCTAAACATACAGTGTGTCTCATCTAAATTACCTTCGCCGGTATGGAAACTAAAAAAGAACGACTAAGAAGGGTTTATATTATTTCAAAACGTGCATCGAGTGACGACACAAAATCCCGAAAACCGCTGAAATTTTTTCCGCATATTAACATTATCACCAACATCACTCGAGCTCAACGACCTATGACATAATAACTTAGAAGTGACTTTAGAAAACAAAAGAAAAGGAAATATATTAAAAAATGATCAAGCCTGATGTGAATATGGTTGACTTGTGACTCGTGGTGGATGAATTGTAACTCGTGTTGGACGAATCGTGACTGGTGAAGGACGACTTGTAACTGGGGAAGGACGACTTGTAACTGGTAAAGGACGACTTGTAACTCCCTCGGAATCGAATGTCCCTCTCCCTGGACGCGGATGACTCCAAGACGCGGGTGACATGGGAATGCATGTGATTGGCCAAGAAAATGAGGTGGAAATGGTTCCGGTGAGGTAATTGGTTAATCGGGTGCGCGGTACGTGTGCTGTCGGAGACGAAAATCGGGGTTTTTCCCAAAAAGCCGTTGCCGGTTCATCTGCCCGTCGATGGTCGCGAAAGGCGATGCTCGCCCATTGTTCCGCGGCGGTCCTCTCATGTACCGTTACGGTACATCGAGGGCTGTCCAAAGGACGCGGCTCCACAAGTATATTAATTTATAAAATATCGAAAACCTAGGAATGGCCTTTAAAATGACCCTCGAGTGACCATCTTCCATCGTAAACTGTAATAATTTTCTCCAACTTTCTCCGGAAATGGACATAATCCAGATATCTGTTGCAAGTAAAACACCCTGTATACAGATCCAACGTATATCCAGCTCACGTTAATCCCATTCTTCGGCTACGATTCCGTCGAATTGAATTTAGAAGCAGGTCCAGAGAATTCACGGGCGGCGTACGTAGCCGTACGTGGAGGGAAAATCGAGGGGCTCTCCCTAAGACGGTCATCGTATCGTCGGCGGAAAGTGCCGGGGGCAATCAGGCTCGAACAGGTCGGGGGACGGTAAGAGGATATAGAGCGTGCCGTTACGACGACCGGGAAATTGTAATCCTGCAGGAAGTTCGCGGTTAGGCGTGAATTATTCCAGCCCGGTCGTTGTCGACGATCGAACGTCTCGCGTCGCCCGTGGAAAATCCTTAAAGCGCGCCGCGAAACGCAGCCACGCTGAGCCGGCGTTTCGATCAGGCCGGGCCCGTTCACGAATAATTCAAACCTAAACGAACCGGTTTCCCTCGTTCTTCGTGCAACGAGAAGATACGACGTCGCTAATCGCCGAGATTTATCCGCTTCCGGAGAAATAACGTTAATTTAATCGGCGACTTAATAAATTCGAGGATTGAATGCGATTGTTGGGTCCTCTACCGGTGGGTGACGGCGTTCGTTAAGGTTTTTGGGTATCTTGGATCGCGTTGGTTTCGAGTATTTTAGAATTTTTTGATTTTAATTGGTTTGGTTAAACGTTGCAGTGGGAAATTAATGTCTTCGTATTGACTGTACGATTAAGACTTTTGGGTGAAAAAGGACCTAAGACCTTATGTGTAATAATTTTTGTTTCCAACGCGACATATGAGCCTAGACAATAATCGTTTAAAGTAATGTTAAGGAACGTAAACTTGATAACAGCAAAAATGACTAATATAAAAAGGCGGTGGGTCAAAAAAGACCCGAAAGACCGCTCTAGGGTTAAGCTTGGTTTGTCAGTGTAAATCGCTCATTTTGATAGTTATTGAAACTTGTATATAATGCAGCTTTCGAAAATGTATTTGACAAGTGCTTTTTATTACACGCTGATTTGCAATTTCAACAGAAATAAATAACAGAAAATAACAGAATTTGTTTTCTCGATATGTGGAGAATTGTTGGATTTACAAAAATGGTTTAAATTTACCAAGTGTGAGTCTTCTAATAAGAAAAACAAAGTGTCATATATTTTTTCGAAAAAACTGACGCTTTAAAATACAGCGTGTGACAAAAGTTCAGATTGCAAAAAACGTTCGATTTGTATATTGACTTGTTTTTTTTATTTTAAACATTTTAGACATTTGATTTATTTTAAACAAATATACGAAGGTATGGAAATATGAGACTTTCCTTTTCACCATTTTCCAAATTCTTAGTCAAATATTAGCAAAACATAATTTCATATCGACGGTTTCATCTTACCATGCCTAACTAAAAATTCAAGCCTATCGTAAAATCATTTCAACAATTCCTCCTGCACAAACATAAAATTACCCCAAAAAACGAGATCCTCGAAAATTCCCCATTACCCAAAAATCCACGCACCCCTAAAATTCTGTTTACACGCCGAAAGCATTGTTTCCGCGGCTCAGCGGTTTCACTCTGCGAGACCTTTCCCCTGCACCATGTGAATTTATTCGAAAAGTCCCGACCGCGTAAATGCGCCATAAATCCGCGAAGTGAAGAAAAATGGATCATTCGGTAACTCCATACGCAAGTCAACCCTCCTTCTACACCAACCTGTCTCCACCTTTCCTCGCTTTATACCATGCGTTTTTATAGTCGAACCGTGAGCGTAACTTTCGCGGCTGGGTACGCGCGTCTTTCGCGTAATAAATAATGATAAGACCCCTGTGAAAACCTCCGGGTACCCTCAAACGAGCGTACCAACGAACACGCAAGTCTTATTTATAGGCCACCCGTTAGCTTGCCCGTGGAAATAATTTAACGTTTACCCCGCGCTGTGATTAAAAACTGATATACGGTAGAGCTAGTGTATCGATTGGATCAAAACCTTCTCTCTCTCCCCTTGCCGCAGCCTCCTCTACTTCCGGTTCTTGGTCTCTTAATTAAAATTCGCGGCGTCGCTGGAAAGATCCAAAGTTTCCGGGGTGCTCGTTGTCGCGACACGCTCCTTTCATTAAGTTCCTCCCGGTTCGAGAGCAAATTATCGGACGATGTTTCACGCCGGGACCAGAATAATTCCCGAAGATCCGTGAGGAAAATTCGAGAATAAGAATCACCTCGTCGTATCTATCCACCACCTCTTTTCACTCCTGCTGCACCTTTCGCGGGCTTCCCTTCCTACCGACTGCTGTACGCGGGGGGCTGTTTTCGTTTAATTGCTTTTATTCCAGGATTAATTTTCCCTTCAACGATGAGAATTCACTTCTCTCCCGGGCAAATTTCCCCCGGTTTAATTAGAAGACAACGTGTTAGACAATACGTTTGTCTCTTTCTCTCTCCACCTCGCTGAAAGAACCGAGAGAGTTTATAATCGCAACGTTTACCCTCTTACAGGCGAAAAGAATCTCGTTAAAAGAACAGAAGAAAAGAGAGACGCGGTGGAGGAGTACGAAACAACGCACACGTTTCGCAATTACTCGTACACGTCGTCGTCGTCGAACGTGTTTCGTCCGCTTTTTTAATCCACCGTTCTACATTAAAATACACCCGCGAGGGTTACATTTTCACGTTAAGAAGTCGCCGCCGAGGAGGAACACGCGCGTTGTAGAGAGAAAAAAAAGCGGCAGACAGCCTCATTTTCCTAGAGAAACCTAAGGAAATATGTGATTACTTTTACGCTTTCTTCCGTCGACATTTTCACAGATTTACCAACCGCCTTCAGTGTCACGCTATTCTTCTCCCCGGCTCATTGTTCCACGCGTTCAAACGGGTTCCCTCTTCGTATCGTCCTCGTGCATCGCGCGTTCCTCTTCTTCCACTCTGGCCGAATTTTCTCTTCCCTTTTCCTCTCGTGCGCAATTTCCAGTCGCGAAAGAAGAACTCGGTCGCAACTACACACACACATACACACGTTTCTGAGAGGCGAATTCTACGAGAGGAACAATGTGATTCTGGCGACGGAGAAAGAAACGATGACACAGATCGTATCATTGGTAGCCTCGAAGAATTCTGTTAAAGAAGAAGCTGCTGATGTTGCGGCTGGCTACTACTACCAGACCGGTTAGTTCCATTTCTGCGGTGACAGTTTCCAGCTCGCGGCTGGCCGAGCTTCTCTCATTCATTAGGATAATTAACGTCAGCGACAGCGTCACACTCGTGGCAAGTGCTTTTATTATTCCCACGTGCGAGAGATCTAACCGTTCCACAAAACTCTCCCTCGTGTGCATATTCGTGACCCGCATTCCCCCGCGGCCTCGATTCCTCCGAACACAGGAAACGGGCTTTTTGTTTCGCGCGTTTTTTGGCCGAGACAAAAGTCGGAACCAGGATTGCAGAGTGTTTGGACGAGTGGTTGCGCGCGTGACGTGGTAAGGGAGAGCTTGGAGAAATTTGACGGAAGCGATTTTTGGGTTACGCGGATTCCGTGGAGTTTCGGTTGGATAATTGAAGCTTGGGGTAGAAGGTTCTGGGTTTGCGTTGTTAGGTCGCTGCGTGTGAAATCG